AGTGCCCAACAGTGGACATCTGAGACTAGTGATTCAAATGAAACTAATAGATTTGAATTCTAACTCTAACATTCTCTGTGAAATATAGAAAATATATCTGCTTATTTTACACTATAAAAGTTTATTTTCCAAAGTCCATTTTCAGTGTTACCAGGATGCAATAGACAAAAAAGGAAGGAAGGAAGGAAGGAAGGAGGGAAGGAAGGAAGGAAGGAAGGAAGGAAGGAAGGAAGGAAGGAAGGAAGAAAGAAAGAAAGAAAGAAAGAAAGAAAGAAAGAAAGAAAGAAAGAAAGAAAGAAAGAAAGAAAGAAAGAGAAAGAAAGAAGAAAATGTTGAAAGTTTTTCCATCTCAGATATGAAAACTCTTATATATGCTAATTGATTTTCATTTTGCTTCAGTTCCGGACAGAAATAGAATTTTCTAATTTGTTGATATATGCATAAGTTTGAAAGGTCTAGTCTCACCTATCCTATAGAACCTTGTCAAAATAGGACAATGTACATACCTGGTTAATTTTCTTTTTATCAGTGATCTCTCAGAAAATCAGTTGTCCATTTTGTATATCAAGACAGTCAAGAACAATGGAGGAGTATGAGAAATGGACAAAAGAGAAGGAAAATAAATAAATAAGTTTAATAAGCTAAGTTATATCAAGTGAAAGGAAATTCTGATAGTAAGAATAGGGCTTTAATATCTTATGCCATTTGCTAAAGTTTGTGGCTAACATTTGTAAATTTAGCAGTTAGAATGGAATTTCTAGAATGAATACACACACAGAGAGAGTATATATTTGCGTAATTAGATTATAATAGTACTAGAAATGCTAAATATCTGTGTGACACAGACACAAATGACAGGGTTCAAAATGCTAACTAGTAATAGTTTGGAGAGTATGTAGAAGCAATGATGTTTCTATGATAGAAATCTTTTTGTTACAAGTGAATAGTCTTTGCAAACTTTATTATATGCCTTTTAGATTGTTCTATATTAGTTTAGCATTACATATTTAACTGAATATAATATGAATAGGTATTGGAAAATTAAAATCAAAATCATATGCATACTCCCTATCTTGTGATTTATGAACTCAGAGATTTCTAATTAGATGTGCATAGAATTGCTATTTAAAAAATTAACATTTTAAAGGTAGTAAGTCCTGTTATTAATTTGGTTCTATATCATAAAAGAACAAATAACTTCAGATTTAGTCATTTCTAGTAGTCTTTTAATGTACATATTGGCTTTATTCTATTGCTAGGATTTCCAGTAGATAAATGTTTTGAGAGGCTACTTTAATGTTTTAGGTAAAAGAATTACAAGAGACTTAGTTTAGAACAGGGGTGCTAAACCTGCTCGCATTGTGGGCCATATTGTGATGTGTTTTGCCTTTGTGGAGCTCGGGTGGATGTGGCGTGCACATATCTGGACCCCAAGTTGTCACTTTGACAGGTCTGTTTAAAACTAAGCCAATATAATTTTGCTCAATATAATTATAAGCACCTTTTTCTTGGTAGGATTAGATCATCTTAAAAATGGGCATTTTCTTTGTGATGGTTTTAAATAATTGACTGAAATTGATATGGGAAATAGTATGGTGCATGAACAATATAAAAAGAGATTGTACAAACTTTAAAATAGACCTGCCTTTGAAGCAGTGTCAAACAATATGTCTGTCCATCCTGATTGCCATGCCAATTGAGTGCTAGAGGCCAATTACAGATAGCCTTGTTTTAGGCATAGTTTAAGAACTGAGGAGAGAATCAGAGAGAATCCTTGATATTCATGCCACTGCAAACAATAATTATTTATTAGTCAAGGTTTAAAATATTTAAATTAGTCATCTTATTCTATTTATTATTTGGTTCTAGTTAATTAGTGGCTTAAAGAAAGAGAGATGTTTTTTGAAGTGGGGGAGGCATGTTAAAAATTCAGTGTCATTTTTTATCATTAATTATTTGGCCAATGTAGTATTTTCTGTTTGTATTAGATGATAATAAAAGTCCAGTAATTTGCTTATAAAAGAAATTTTGCTTCACTTTCCATTGGAGATCCCTATTTTATTGTTCAACAGGATATAGATAAAAATGACTTTTTCTAGATAAAATTTTTGCAGCAAGACAAATTCCTTGTGTGTCCAATCACACTTGGCCAATAAAGAATTCTGTTCTATTCTATTCTATTCTATTCTATTCTATTCTATTCTATTCTATTCTATTCTATTCTATTCTATGTAATGGCTGATTTACTTCTGGAAATCAAGTGAATCATTTCCGTTAAGTCATTCTATCCTATCCTATCCTATCCTATCCTATCCTATCCTATCCTTTCCTATCCTATCCTATCCTATCCTATGTAATGGCTGATTTACTTCTGGAAATCAAGTGAATCATTTCCGTTAAGTCATTTCTGTTCTGTCTGTCTCTATCATTTAATTAAAAAGAAAGTTCTTATTTTTTAAGGAGTCTATTTTCCTAGTCATAGTCTCAGAAAACTAAGTAG